GCACCGCCTCTCGGCAGAAGGGGACGAAGTCCAGCCCCGCCACCGGCGCGGCGCCCAGGCTGAGCAGGACGCTGAGGTCATCCACCAGCAGCACGGGGCCGTTCCAGGAGTCGCTGTCGGCGGGAGTCAGGGACATCCGGACGAAGTCAAACAAGGCTTTGAGGTCGGAATTGCGCTCACTGGAAGAGAAGGAAGTCTCAAGGTGTGTCCTCCTCCTCACCCACTGACACAGCGTGGCAACACCAGCCTGCACCACTGTCCCCACTGCTGACAGCCACCAGGTCCTACATGGCCCTACAGTCACTGCTCCTTTACTCACCTGTGTAACCCAGTAACACCAGTGAAACCCTTCTGCCTTGCTCCAGGGACCACAGAACCAAAGAAACGCTTGGGTTCAAAGGGACCTTTAAAGGTCATCCAGTCCCACCCTGCCATGAGCAGGGACATCTTCAACTCGATCAGGTTGCTCAGAGTCCCATCCAGCCTGGCCCCCGTCAGAGGCTGCCTGACCCAGAGGCAATATCTTCCAATTTAACCGCCCTCCATGCATTTTTTTTTTTTTTCATCCATCAGGACCATGGAGAAAGTGAAGTGGGAATAAAAAGGAAAGCCAGCACAGTGAAAGCAGTGCTGTTCTCCTGGATGAGAATAAGACTCAACAATAAAAAAAAAGGAGCTAAACTTCTTGGAGGGAGTTTTATTTGACACAAACAGGATGAGTGCTGAAATAGATTTTCTCCAGACCTGTAACATGCTTGGCAATGAGGATGGGGGCAGAAATGACCCCGAAACGCTGGAGAAGGGGGACAGAATCCCTCTCTGAGCAGCAGGGAGAGACAGGGTAGGACAAGAACAGCAATGTGCACGGCGCTGGCGTCTCCCTTCACTGAGGTGTCCAGCTACTGAGTCCTTGGGCCCCGGAGGGGAGCCCAAGGGGAGCCAGGTCTTGGGCATGGAGCTCACTGATGCCCTCGGCGTTGGCTGCAGAGGCCGGAGACATGCCAGGGGAAATGCTTTGTGCTGGGGGCCCTGCTGAGCCCCAGAGGAACCACCAACCGGTCAGGTTTACCTTATAAACTGGAGAGGACTGGGCTGTCCTGGCTGCTGCTCCTCCTCTCCAAACAAAAGGTCAAGGCAGGACTTGAGGCCTTCCAAGAAGACAAGCTGTCCCCGTTCTTTGGCAGCTGTCAGACTGATTCCCTTGAGAGAGGAAAACATGATGTTGTAGAGCTTTGGAGGAACAGTGCAAACAGCCGATTTTTATCAAGTCTCATCTAAATCATAGAATCACAGAATGGTTTAGGTTAGAAGGGACCTTAAAAATCACCTAGTTCCAACCCCCCTGCCATGGCCAGGGACACCCTCCACTACACCAGGTTGCCCAAAGCCCCCTCCAACCTGGCCTGGAACACTGCCAGGGATGGGGCATCTACAACTTCTCTGGGCAACCTGTGCCAGTGCCTCACCACCCTCAGAAGGAACAATTTGTTCCTCAAATCCCACCAAAATCTCCCCTCTTTCAATTTAAAGCCATTGCCCCGTGTCCTGTCACTCCACACCCTTGTCCAAAGCCCCTCTCCAGCTTTCCTGTAGCCCCTTCAGGTACTGGAAGGTGCTGGAAGGTCTCCCCGGAGCCTTCTCTTCTCCAGGCTGAACAGCCCCAACTCTCTCAGCCTGTCTCCAGAGCAGAGGTGCTCCAGCCCTCCCATCATCTCCGTGGCCTCCTCTGGCCCCGCTCCAACAGCTCCATGTCCTTCTGTTGTTGGGGACCCCAGAGCTGAATGCAGCACTGCAGGGGGGGTGTCACCTCAGCCCTGCTTCACCATGAGGCTGACCTTGAGAGCCACATGCAGGGCTCGTCCAGCCCCAATGGAGAAAGCCCTGGCAGAGTTGCAGCAGACATGCAGAAGACTCTAACTGGAGATCTAGTTCTTGAACTCCTTCCTCATCCTCCTTTCTTTCATCAGCAAGGGCTACTTTCACCAACCTTTCTATAGCTCCTCAGCCTTCTGCTAACTGCATCAGCCCACCTTTCAGAAGAAAATTTAGTACCACGTTACTGATATGATCACAGAAAGATATCTCATGCGCACTATCTTCAAACTGCAGCCAAACTGTGCGTTTCCTGGCAGGAAGAAGTGCAAATTTGCTCAGCTTTCCAGTGTGGGTTGCTTCCCACATTTCACAACGGGACCGCGATCTCTTAAAATGGAACCAAGGAGCATTAACGCCAAGAGTCGTGGCGTCCCAGCAGCCTGGAAACAGGGTCGTTGTGCAAGGCAGCAGGTGGGTGGACACGATGGCGAGACAGATGGTTTACAGGGAGTTCAGGAAGGTTTAGCTCAATGCAGTGTTGCTCCACAGGCAGAACTGGTGAGCCAGAGGCCAGGAACCAGAAACACGGATCCTGAGAAAGCAGTTCCCGTATCCCCTCAGAGAAGACGCCCTTTGGGATGCTGCGAGGTTTTGCACCCTCCGAAGAGGGTGGCTGAGCAGGACTGGCCAGGAACAGGGGAAAGCCCTAGGGCAGGAGTGGGAGCCCTTTCCTTAAGCCAGGACCAGCTTCTGCCTGAACGCTGGAAGAGGCACACACCACCACCACTGGTGCTTTCGACCAGGAACCTTTTAAACGTCACAGAAAATACAGATTTTTGCTGGTTTCCTAAGCAGTCGTGCTGGGAGCTGCAGGACACTTGAGCACGGGGTTTGAGTCGCCCAGCAAGCAGCTCTTCCCCCAGGACCTCGAGCGCTGCTGAACAGAGCGCTGTGCTTGGCACGGTCCCAACACCTGCTTCTGAAAAGACCTTGGAGGTTTTCCCAGCATTTCCCAGTCCTCCCGACACCCCTGAGAGCCACCCTGCTCCCTTTGCTCACACACAGGAGGGAGATGCACCAAAGTGATGTGTCCGCTTCTGCCTCCTGTGTTTCACCTGCTCCACCTTCCTGTTATTCCAGACTTCCCAAGTTTCACACCCCTCTTCTCTTCTCTTCTTTTATTTAAACGAAAAAAAGAAAAGATTGTAAAGCCACATCTTGAGCACCTGATGAATGAGACCATCCCTACTAGGATTTCCCCAGGAGGACCTCCAGAGAGAAGGTCTGGGTAGATAAGGAAGAGGTCCTTTCCAAGCAGATTAACCCTGAGCTCCTGCAAGCCTTATCAGTTGCCACACGTTCCGTGCTAATGAGAGGAAAGACAGATTTCCGCTGTTTTCCCTCCCAGCTGTAATGTGAGGGGGAGAGATCCACTCCTCAGGGCTGCTGCCAGAAAACGCCGTCTACGGCAATCAGAAAACAACGGATCGGAGGCAACGTCTTCCATCACGGCCAGGGGATGCTCTGACAAGCAGCCTCGACTGGCAGAGGCGACTCCAGGGAAAAGGCTGTCTGACATGTCCCACCTCCAATCGTTTTGAGCCTGCCCTTCTTTTTCCTGGTCTTCCACACGTGCTTCTGGGAGGAAATCAAGCCCACCTGCCACGCAGACTCCGGAAGGAGAGCCTCGGGCAAGGCACCAGCCAGCACTTTGGGATATACCCCTTTTGTTTTCAAGCACCCTCTCAATAAACAGCATTAACCAGCAAGCGTTGCAACACTCTTGCCTCATCTAATCCACATTGCCTCCTCTCTTTTCCCCTTCTCCCGGGCAAGCCAAGAGCAGTAATTCCCATTCCCAACTCTTACAGAGCACGGGGCCCTCGCTCTCCCTACCGTACCTCCCGCCGGCCCCGAGCCCGGCAGAGCTGACGTGGGCTGCAGGCAGAGGGACCCGGCTTGTGCAGGTGATATTTGCTCACCAAAGCCATGCCAGAAAGCAGGGCAGGAACGGAGCGCCAAGGGAAGCCTCTTGGGCAACCGTAAGCACACACCATGGAAAAACTTCTAGCCCAGGACAGAAGAACCTTTATGTGACAAGCCAGGAGCGGGGAACAGCCAGCAAATACCTGCCGTGCCGTAACACAGGGCTGGGCTGCACGGCGGTCTCACCAACCTCGTCCCCTGGTGAGTTCTCGGGGTCTGCAGGACACGGCACTTGCTGAAATGCTTCGTGACAGCAGTGGCTAAATTCAGAATAATCCAGAAAATAATTCAGATGAACGGGTGGTATCTGTTCCCATCCCAGCACATGTGGGATGTCTCCATGGCACGGGAACCTCCAAGGGGGAGAGAGGACGGATCCATCCATCCATCCATCCATCCATCCATCCATCCATCCATCGGTACCCAACTTCCTGCGGCTCTCTTGGTCCCGTCCAGGGAAAGCTGGGCTGGAGAAGCTCCGACTCATGCCAGCTGCTGTTTTTAGAAGCGGTGAGCGCGCGGCTGAAGGAATAAACCCTGACAACTCATCTAGTGAAATGATGTGATGGCACCGCTCCGACAAGACGGAGGGAGCTGACTGGGAAGAGTCTCAAGCTGCGAACACGCAGCCTTTGTTTCTTCCTGCACACCCAAACTCTCTATATTTCAGATCAATAAGAAAACAGTGTCCCCTCTTGAAAACACCCGCTGCTTAGTGCTGTTACACCAGGGCCTGCCTGGACGACAGGGAGAAGGGCCGCAGCACAAGAAGGCGGCAGGCAGGGGCGATGTGCTCGTGGCTCAGACCAGGAATTCCATCATGACGTTCCTGGGTGGACCTGACAAGCCCAGTCTCATTTTCCAGCTGGGGAAACAGGTCCCAGAGAGACAGTGCTGGATGGAGGCCTGGATGATCCCGCTGCAGCCATCTGCCACAGCAAACCTCTGCTT